AGAGTGATATCGCAAATAGTCTGAGACGTAAAGCACACATATCATCACCTCCACCTTTTAGCATGCTAGCTGGAATACCATCTGGTCAGTTGATGTTGGAGTGTTTCAATGTACTAATTGCCTTAGAGAAATTTGTTACATTGAAGTCTTCATTAGTAATTTCACAGGGAGGTGATGGGATTAGTTCTGAATCATTTAATGGTTTCTCATCAGTTAATGAGAAACAAAAAAGTTCATTTAATAGTTGCGCAACAAGTTTAGGATCTTCGTATACTTGTTTGTCTTTAATAAATATGTTCCCTTTCGATTTAGAACGTTTCAGTTTATTTTCAAAGAATATGGTGAGTGCAGAGGAGTTATTATTAAGTTCGACAGCACGTTTTCCCTGTTCCACTGTCTTTTGTGACTCTGTTCGGACACGTATTTCTGTCATCGTTACCAAAGAGGAAAAGTCGTTTTAGTTGTGGAGTCGAGTACAATGTCTTTGAAGAATTCTTCGTGTACCGACCGGTATATACAGATCTTTAGAGAATTTAGGTCTTCAATATTCTAAAGGTGCGATTTTGTTGGTGGTACTACTGATGATGTGATAAAATATATTGGTTACTGTGTCGGTATTGTTTGCAGTAAAGAAAGTTCCCCAATCAGTGCGTCCTAGATAATTGTGGAAGTTCTTCCAATCAACCGTGCGATAGTTTCTACAGTGTTACAGTTATATGTCTACCGGTTGTAATTTTTATATTAAGGCTGCATATGACAATGTTATGATCACTACCTGGAAACGTTTTTCCAATATACACAGTAATGAGGATGAGGCCACTGGTGAAGACTAAGTCCAAGATATTTTGATGTCTGGTAGAGCTACTGACATGTTGAGTCCACTATCTTTGTCCTATACATTCAATAAATGATTTATCACGTTTCGAAGCCTTGACTGGAGACCAAAAAATTTAAGACATATTGAAGTCACCACAAATGAGCTTGCCTGTGAATAGGAGGGATGATGTTAGTGTGAATATTATTGATAATACTGCTATTTCACCAATTGATGCATTAGATTGATGGTAAACACAGCCGAACAGTAAGGTAATGGACTTCGATGGCTTTAAGTCAATCCACACCGAACCCTTCAGTTTGTTTAATTCAGGCATTTCACATGATAGTGAGTTTAAGCTAGAGTGAGCGCAAATAAGGCATCCACCGCCTTGTCCTTTCAGTCTATCACTTCTTTATAGGAAATAATTGTCAAGAGATATTCTGAGGTCGAAAATATCACTGTTAGTCCATGCTTCAGGTATCATTATAAGCGGTGGTTGATATATGGATACAAACAGGGCTAAATCCGTCTTCTCATTGTAAATCGACCTAGCGTTGATAAGACACATATTAAACAAATAGCCTACTAAGTTAAAATGTCTGAGTATCTCAATTAAAGTTGTCATAACCCTCGCTGGTGTGATATGGGTTTGAAGTGAGGGTTTGAATGTTTTTCAATAGCTCTGTATTTTGACAGCTAGAGTTAGTGGGGGATGTGTCAAATGAGCTAGTGAAGTTGTTTGTGGAGTTTACACAGGAGGGAAGGGTGGAAGTACTCTCTGATGGGAACTGTTTAGTAGACCGTGTCGACTTTTCGATGCACATGGGTATTTCGCTTTCTATGTCAACTAGTCTTACGGTTGGCATACTGCACACAGAGATAGAAGAGACTTTTTATGGAGAATCGATTAGTGATATTTGTGGGTAAGACGTAGAAGTGTTCAGAAGATTAAGGTTGATCGTTGTCTGTTGACTGTAAATTGTACTGTTATCTGCAAAATAGTTTCAATGGTTAAACTCGCAGCCGCTGTTATAACTGTTTTCGTTAGTGTGAGCATGATGGGGCTCTGCTGCACGTAACCGGAAATAGTTATGCCCCTCTTTGTAGTGGATTGGTGCTGAAGAGTGTGGAGAGTTTTCCTTCTGAGAGTAATATTAGCAGACTATGATAATGTAATGACTATGATAATGTTAATCATAATGTAAATCATCGATGCTCTGTTCAACAATCTGTGATCTAAATGCCTATATACTTTAGTTGTGCAATCAAAACAATGTCATTATTCAGACTTTGAGTACGTTGTCCAGAATGACAACGAAAGCTATTCAATAAATATAAAATATATATAAAATATATAAGTATAAAAATACCTGTGCCCTATCCTGTTTAGTTTCGATTCCCATTTGTTAGCGGAACGTTTGAAAGAATCTGAACAGCTAGTCTGTGCGCATACGAAGTTTAAAAACGCTCGTATAGTCTCAGACAGAACCACCAATCGAAGACTAACACAAAAGCGTACCATGAACGAAAATATCATTGTTGAGGTCACAACAAATGTGATCGCGCCAGCAGCTGAACCCACTGGTTCAGCTAATTTATCTCATGTTAGTCAGTGTACTGATATACCAATGCAGTGTGCTAGTTTGCCTCTCATACCCCTAGTGGCCCTAGATAACCAGGACATATCTGATGGAGACACTAATGTCATTCTTTCCAGTGTAATATCGGAGGCCCAAAATCAAACACCTGATTCTATTGTGAAGGCTGATAAAAACACTGCTAAACCTAAAAAAATACCAATTAAGAAGAAAGCAAATAAAAATCCTTATGGTTCTAGACTGAATACCAAAAATATTTCAACGGTCACTACAACCATCATGTAAGCAGGCCTACTATTAGACAGACGGCAATGAACCAACGTCCCCCATGGTTTTCCGCAAATGTTATAAATAATAAACCTGCAAGATGTAACTCTTATCATCACTCTCGCAATGGAGAAGATGGTATACTAGGTTACGCACCATCAACGCAACCCCAACATGCAGGCACCTCTATTAATTGTCCACCAAAACAAGTACAACAAATTATTCAACCTTACCAAAATAAGGATTTTTTTCGGCCTCCAGAGATCCCTTGTTCCACTAGCACTACAATTCGCTCATGCTATGGCCCATGCGATCCGGAAAACACATCAAACCATAGTCCAGCCATATTTAGAACTCATACCATCGATAAGGATGCTCTCGGTTTTTTCACACTACACACTCCCTTTGTAAACGTATTACTTATTAACGCATGTTCACTTCTGAACAATATTTCAGCCTTGGGAACCTTAGTCTTTCTAGCGAAGCCTTCTTTTATACTTATCACTGAAACGTGGTGTAAACCAGCAGTGGCCGATTCCGAATTAAATATCCAAAATTATCGACTTTATCGCTGTGACAGAGAAACTAAGCGAGAAGGCGGTTGTTTTTTGTTTGCTTTAGATACATTAACAACTAACAAAGTTGAAGATAGTATCTTGAATAGTTTACCAGAATTGATCTGGATATCAATCAATGCCCTAAACCATAGTCTACTCCTAGGTTGTATATATAGAGCTCCTGATAGTATTGATAATTTGAATGATCTTATATACAAAATTTATAACTTCAGGATATGAGGATCCAACATCATCTAGTGGGATTAGATAATGTCAGAGAATTTGAAGTTATGCTCACATTTGTTATTCAGGACCTACGCTTCGAATCTTAATATAAGGGCGTTCTATCCTGAATAAGATTAAATTACAGGTGACTGCTAAGAACTGTTGATGAACGAATATTACACGTATACTCTTATTGTATAGTTATTCAGTAACTAGGATACGTAAATCCATACTTCTAATAATAAATGCTTTATTTTGAACCACAGAGTATTATGATACGGTTCACCATTCTTATGGTATACCCAGTTTATTAATTACAGCTTCTAACAATCACAACCACTTTCTGACTTGGTCTTGTACAATTGTTATTTTTCATTTTGTGATGTATTGCGTCTTTGTTTGCTTGTATCTAAACCATGTATGTTTGAAATAAATGATTTGTATAGTGGAAGCTGTTGTTGTTGTACTGGACTCAACGGGCAGAGATAGTCAGATGAGGACCAATGAGGAGACTCGACTGCTAATACCGTTCAACTGGTTATTTTTGTGATATGGTGTGAAGATTGAACAAGACGTATTGCCATTATCTAGCCTATCACGTAATAAATTAACCGATCATATCGCACAACATGCATTGGATAGCACATTAACAACAAAGTAATAATTGATTTGTGATTTCCCATTGTGATTCACATATACATATAAATATTACTGTATATTAGAGTAAATCCTGGTGAGGATCCAATCGAAAACAATATATATATATATATATATATTTCAACATATGCTCACTAGAGACTGGCTTCAAGAGGTGATTCCTGGAGTTCTAGTGAGAAGCAGTGACAAGTGGATTTCAACCAGGTCTGTTGTGAGATATCAACTAACTGAAGACATTGGTGGATGTGTCGTTCAATTTCGTGGATTGGCTGAAGTAAGACATTCACACCGTTGGATGCCGGTCAGCTCAGTGGTCTAGAGGTCAAGCGCTTGCGCGCGAAACTGATAGGTCGTGTGTTCGAATCTCGCGAGGCAGGATCGTGTATGCACCGTGCTGAGGAGTACCACAATGGGCCGTCTAGTGCTTCCAGGTTTTCCATGTTGGTCTACCTTCAATTGATTCATGGCCTCAACTATTAAGGTTACCATAGTATCCACAATACTCCTTCTCATAAATATATATATATATACATATATATATATATATATATATATATATATATTGCTAACAACTACGAATGAACTGTCAATAGATTTATTAGCAAAATTTTCACCTTATAAAAACATATTAATTGGAAATGGCAATCAAAAATATATGAGATAAAACGTTTTGAGAAATGTCGTCAAGTACATATGTGTTTTATTATTTGGAAGAAATAAAACTGAGGTTATAAATCAGTTACTGTTTAAATTGAAGTAGAATATATGATGAGATTATGATGATGATGATGATGATGATGATGATTTGGATGATGATGGACAACAGAATATCACACAATAATAAGATTCAACGACATCTGATGATTTTGATTAAATATACTAAGACTTCTTCAGTGTTGATTTAGCTACTGATCTTATAATTCTTTTAAAATCTGATGTTGGCAACAAACTGTGATGATATGCTTTTAACTCATGCCGAGAATAACCAGAAGTTTGTTGTTCAACACCAAACATATCTAATGCACTTTTAGCATACACTTTGGCAGTTGGTATGAAAAATGTGGTTTTCATTAGATTGGTCAAATTTGTCGACACATATAATGGACATATCGCTTGTATAATAACATTGTTTTTATACTTCTCTGCAGCCACACATCTCGAAAATTGAATGTTAGCTGCTTTGGTTGTAGCGTACAATGAAGCATAAGGAAACACTCTTAAACCTGAATAAGATGCAATGTTTATGATACCAGGATTAGGTCCCTTCTGTATTAACATTTTCGGAAGAATTATACTTGTCATTGTTACTGCAGACAAAATGTTACAATGAATGATATTTCTAATTGATTCTTCATTCGGCGAATTAACTTCTCCACTAAACAACGTAACGGGTAATCCCATACCAACATTGTTAACTAAACAAGCGATTGTGGATAATTGGTCAACAGCGGGTCTTATTATTTCATAAACATCATGCTAAACAAAAGAGAAGACAAAGTTGGTAGGAGTTGATGATTCAAATGTTTCTCATTTGTTTTGATCATGGAATATCTAAAATGTTTCAACAATGTGAATATGTGCTGCTTTTTTTTGATCGTGAATTGTGGATGACTCTGAGACAAGTCGTATACATCATTTCTAAATAGATAAAGTGATATACACTGAGTAGGTGTAACTGAATATTCTGTTATATGTCCAACTAGTATGCTATATTTTGATGATGAGTCTCTGTGTATTTCCGTTCTCAATATTCACAACTGAAATCTAATCAGTTTCTGTCACTTTACATTCATCCTGTGTGGATACCTTGGTATTAATATGAGGGGACGTTGTGACAAATTTGGTGATGAGATTGACAGTGAAATGTCGACTGTTTACCTCTGTGTTTTCCAATGAATGTCACAATGTGTGTAATGATATTTGCAATAACTGTGTATACGGTTATTTCCGAAACAACATTTGAATGACAGTCAACCAGTCTCTGCTGACACATACGCACACAGAATGAATAACTTCAACTGAACACGAGTTATATCAATATATATTTCATTTACTTACAAATCTCAAAACACATTGATCAGGGTGAGTGATCATCAACAGACAACAATAATCCACTCACTCACACTCTAAACTACCATTTACACTAGTGTAGTGTGAATCTAACATTAGTCGCATACTTCACTCAAATTCACGGTGGTTTGATTCAACTCCATATAGAAACAGGTCAACACCGAACCATTCGACCAAATATTCACATGCATTTCATCGATATTATCACTGAAATCTCAATGTCGTCTCGAACTAACTGACGGTCAACAATACACCGATATATGTTTCAACAAATCAGCCACGCAAATCACACAACATTCTCTATGTTCACATATCCAGTGTGAATTCGTGACACTCGAATGTTGGTATTATTCAGTGTAGCTTAATGCGACTGATTATATGAATAAAGTAGTTGATCAGGTGACAGGATGGAGTGAGACATTGGTAACTGACGTGAGTGGTGAGGATGACTAAAATTATCTTATACTACAAAATACTCATCCACACATTTGTCATGTATTATCATCATTGCAGACACGTCAATTACCTCTCCATAATCCTTCCACTCTATGTCAACTGCAATTCTCCCTCTCATTCTGTCACACTACTCAAAAGGAAACGGAAACTTTGATGAATAACCACCGTTCCACCTTATCGACTAGAGAAAACACAAAAACATTGATGCTGCAAATAAGGCACACCACAATCACTCGTGTAGTAATTATGAATACAGTACTGGATAGATTGTGTGTAATTGTGGAACCACACATACACTCACAGATAAACATTTACTCGACTCGAATTTGTGATGTTCATGAGATTCACTAGACAACTATGGAATATCAATGAGTTGTTTATGATATGACACTGATATATTTGATGCACATGAATGATAGAAATACTTTTCGTGAAAACAATGTTTTCAATCCCATTTCTGCATTCAAACATATGCTATCACGGATGGTAGTTTTATCATGACCACAAGACTCAAGCGTCCGTATTAACTCTCCTAACAGTTCATCACATCATGAACAAAATGTCTAGTCATGCATACCTCCTGTCCATCTATGTAAACACTACCAAGTGACAAGTCAAACTGATTACTTGATTCAATGATAATGATTTCAAGATAACACGAGTAACAGTTTAATTGAGAAGGAATATTACTTTAGTAAACTCTGCAACCACAATTAGTGTTTGAACATTGTATGTAGTTGCGATTCCATTGGCAACGCAGGACAGTTGTTCTTCATCATTACTGATAAGCATGATGTTGAGACCCTCTTTGGCCAGTTCATCTGCATACGCTTCACCAATACCTGATGATGCACCAGTAACAACTGCCCATTCACCAGCTTTACGAAGTGTTTTCCGTTTAGAAAAGCGCCATTTTTTAACAGTAAACTTGAAACAAAGCGTCACTACATGTAAAAGTTTGTAAATTATCAAAGAAACTGCGAGTAGAATTAAAAAGTTTCACAATAGTCAATAGGGAAACTTAAAATAGATAAGATATCCTAGATTGCAAGAAGAAAGACAAACACCATTTACATATATCAATGTGAAATTTCACTTACTATAGTAAATGTAATTTTACTGTCAATATACATTTAATTATGATGCCGAATGGGACTTTGACGGTAACCGTGAATAATCATCTTTAAACGTCCGATACTCCTCTACTACACTGTTCAGAATTTTTCCCTGTCTAATCCCCCAGCAGAAGACTACTTCAGACTATGCATAGCGAGACGCGATCGAATGAGCGATTCTTTCTTCGATTTCATAATCACTGTTTCCTGACTTCGCATAGCTTTACATCACATGCACTTTTCGGTTACTTACAATGAAAATCATTTAGTCAGCTATCAATCTGCTACATAGTTCTAAACTGAATACTACTGCTAACGTTTCCGACATCGTTCATAAACCATCCGTTGAATAAGTGAACTAACCAATGATAATCTTACAAGTATAAAAGCCTCTTAAGTCCTCAAAGCACCCTTGAATTAGACACGAATACATGTCAAGGAGTGGATGATGATTGGAAAGTTGTATAGGCTCATTTAGTCTGTTTTACTGAAAACTACCTCTTCATAAACTGTGAAATTCATTAGATGCCTGAAAAAGTCATTCCTCTTACATGAGTAATAAAAACAGAGTCTGTTTAATTCCTCTTCAGAATCTCCGAAAATTTCATTCACATTGCAATTAATTACTCAAATAAAAGCATTGACACATCTACTTCATAATTTTCATTGACCCGACTGCACTACAGATATGATTATTAGTATGAGCAATCAAATTGTAATTTTTACATGATTTCATCATGTGTGTGTGGTTTATGAAAATAGCGTGTAGAATCCCTGACTAGTGTCAATTGACATACTCCATCATGCTAACCGAGTATTCTTCTGAATCTCATACAACTGTTGGTCATTTAATGTCAAACTACTGTGGACTGTATCACTGAAAATGGACCAGTAGAATGGTATACAGGAATTACTGTATACTAAAATGTAAATGAAAATCAGTTATTTGTTCAAATATTGTAACAAGGAGTTAGGTATTCAGTCGTTATTAGCAGCTTGAGATTTCATAAATGTATTACATATCACTTACCAGTTGTTTTTGAGTAGTTTGATTAGTATTCGACTGATTTGAATCAACCTATTAAAAGTGATATGAAGGGATAGAAGGTCAAAATGACATTCTTTAATTCATTGAAGTTTCCAATTAACAGTACTTCTCTTCATAATTCAATATGATGATAATTCAGTGTGGTATTTGTCTTCGGTTTCCATTGTGATATTTTATTCCTTATGACATTGATTTGTTTGGATTAGTGGTATGTTTATTCAAGAAAGGATATTCATGTATTGAAAATCGGTTGCAACTATGCTCAATATGCCATGCATCATTTGGTTAATTATATCTCTATGTATATTCAATGTATGCCATTTCATCCTAATTAGTAATCAAAATATGTATACAATCAATATGTGTAAATGAGTGTATTTTCGACTAGGATCGTCGTCGTCGGCTTCGTCGTGTTCTGGAGCTATTGAATCTTCGTTCGTCTTCATGTTCTTACTTCGCGTTGTAGGAATTGCAGTGATCCCTGGTGGTCCTTGAAGTAACACTTAACAGCTACGTGTATATGACAAAATAGTTTAGTATTATTTATTTGGTTACAATAAGAATGTTATCTACTAATTGAATCGAACAGATTTATGTTAGGTATAAAATTATATGCTACATTCTGTCTTTTAAACCAATAGTAAGGTAAGTCATAAATTTGTTGCTACAGTCAATGTGGAGATGTTCGATTAACCAACCAACTCTGACTAAAATGTAATGATGAATAACATCAATAAGATTAAAAATATATCCATACAGACCATTAGCAGTAATAGTAATGACTATCATAATTCTAATCATAACGATTAAGTCATTATATGAGAAAGACACTTTCGAAACTCATTTAACTATCAGCAAACGGTAATGTTCACTTCAGTGAATAGGTAAGGACATACCATTTCCTTCTGATTAGTAGTTCGTGCTTATTCAAAGCTTCCTTAGTTAAATCATCAACAAAGTCACCATTTATATAGCCAGTTTTAATGAGAATTTAAAGGACATGAAATACTCATAAATGCCACAGCATAAATGCAAACGTTTCCAGTGACCGTCAATTGAAATTCAGTGTGAAATTTGCATAGAACTAGTCAAATGATCTGAAAATCTTTTCACTTGCAAATTCATAGAACAATCACATTGTTCTATATCACATCAATATTCATGTAAAACATAATCCGTCTAATATCATTTTTGTAGTAAACACAAATACCAAGTTATTTACACATTGTAATGTATAGAAAGACAATTACACAGATTATAATAGTACTATTGATAGACATTTATTATCAATCTATACTATTATATCACATTCATTATCAATGAAAAGAATTCTAATGTTGCATTTATATGGTCGTGTATTTCATTGTTAACAATGATGTTTTTCTATTTTTATTTTGATGTATATCTGTGACAGAAACACCCATTGTCAGTCAATTTTATTTATTTTAGCAGGACTATCTATAGTGAACAGCAGTTGGGTTCAGGATGTATCTATATCTCAGAGTTGATGATCATTTCGGAACACGAACCCAGCACCGTTCGCTCCAATTGTCATCACGTTTTTCACCTAGATACTGAGTCCGAATAGGCATGAGATTGTGCAATGTGATGAAATTCAAACTCATTTTTGTATAAGTTGATGAGATCTGACCATTCATGTTCGAGACTGCGATTGATCAGTCTCTTATTGATATATGTGCATTTTATCAATAAGATACTCACTCATTTCCAAAGGCGAAGAAATTCGTATATAGATGGACGTTTATCCGTGTGATTACGTAGCCCAATTAATTTTCCCATTCATAATTGTCTTCTTGCTCAGTAGTTAGTTCCAGGCTTGAATTTAGGGAGTTTGTGTAGCAGCATAAGCCTCAAACACCACCTGTCATAACATCAGGTTATGCCTCACAGTTCCTTTTGCATATGCCATGATGATGGAAATTAGTTGTTGAAAAGTTAATTTATAGTCAACTTATATGGATTCAAGATTTAAGAGAATTCTGAATCGCTTGACACTTCAAAATACTCACATTCTATGATGCTTATTACATTTGTAAAATGCGACGTGACGATGAAGAGGGGATAAGGAGATATTTGAACCTGTAGTTTCACATCATAGGGTAGCTTAGGTTAGTAAACCACTAGAAACTGACAGACTATGAATTATTATTTTTCCATAGTATAGGACTCTTCAACAGTGCATGCTCATGACCTGATCGTGATCTGACAGATCATTTTCAACAGAAGGAAGTCGACTAATCTTTAAACTACTCAACTGACATACGGTCCTGCACAAGTCTGACCTAAATCAATTCGCGGTACTTTGGGATCATTTATGTCCTACGCTAAATCTCTGTCTCATATTCAACATGTCTCAATATTCAACATATTCAACATGTCTCATATTCAACTCCATTAGGTAGACGCTTCTCATTAGAACTCTCAGAATTACCTTCTGATGTTTGAAATCAATGAGTATATGAATACCACTGTGAATTATTGTGATGATCACGACTACTATTATTAGTGAACATTCACACTCACACTTCCTAAACTGAAATTTAAAGCACAAACTGATTACTTTAGAATATTTTATAAAGTTCAACAAAAGTATTAAAAAAACAAATTTAATGAGATCACACGTATTGATGAATTCCATTTCAATACAGAATCATCTAAACAATACAACGTGTATCATTTATCCAAAGTACATAATTATCATCCATCAAATGAGAAATATCTTCTAAATTTTCACTAATCAATATTTTGCAAGAACAATTAAGTCTGTTACTTTGAGCCAGTTTCACAGGCTTAGATATTAAGCATTCAAGGGTTTTTGATTGTGAGCAAATGAGAGAATAATCAATAAGAGATTGTGGGGTCATGATCTACAAACTAATGCATATTACATATAAATCTTTACAAGTATACAGTGATATACTGAAACACACACATCATTTATTTCTCTAGTAATTAACCTCACTATTCAGTTTTTACTCAATATAATATATTACAACTGAAATATATGGTACCAATGATTACACATGTGTTCACAATTGATCGATCATTGGGTTGTTATCAATCAGTTGTGATTAAATCTCAGTCTTACAGGAGGACGATCGCGGCCTGAATAGCTCAGTGGTGACGTCTCTGTATGTGAAGCTTGGTGACACGGGTTTGAATCCGTCATGAGGCATCAGTTCCCTCAAGATTATAGGCACACCTTGCTGACGAATGCCAAGTAGAACGAAACCCGGGTTCAGGGTCTCCGGTTGACCACCTCAAACCATCATCTTATTACACATGTGTGTCCAGTATTCTCATGCTGATCTATACTCAACTACTTCAGAATATTACTGATATGTTCAAGAATCACCGTTTCAAAAACCCTAGGTAATATTGAGTGAGAATGAAGACTCATCCATGCACTAAACACTGATCACACCAATAATTTACAACTGGTGGAAACAAGATGAGGAGTCACGTTGAGATTTGGCTCTGGCTTTTTCATCCGAATAGCAATTGCCTCAGCCGTCTGCAGGATTCTCAGTCTGACGAAATTAGGTAGACTGCTGTTTAATTTTTAAATGCTGAAAGAACAAACGAATATATATTATGTAACTCGATAGACTAATCATCGACAAATTTGTGCTGAGCACATGTGAGATAGAAATACTATTTGGTTCATTAAACTGAAATGGATGGTCAATCTGAAAACTAAACTAAATTAGTAGTGACCCTGTTGACCTGGAATTGTCATCATCGAAAGGATAGCTGCTTGAGGTCAGTTACGCACAACCATCTGATAAGTAGTTCTGAAACATTAACGGCGTCATCGTGAAATTTATTCCATCAGTCTAACAACTGAATGAGGTGCCAATTATGATAGGATACTAAAGAACAAATATTCAACTAACACAGATCGATAACATCATCATGATCGGCAACAACAACCACTGCACCAAGGTTACACCTACGACCAATGAATAAGCTCTCGAAATTCTAAGTGCATCTATTAAGAGTAGACAGAAGCAATAATTTTTGGTTACAAATAACTGTCATTATTTCAAATAAAATGCATGCATCCAAATAAATCTAGTTTGCAAAATAAATAGTTCGCTACTGAGTAACTACGTGTATGATGCGGTGGAGTCTTGAGCGAATGGCACCGAGTTCGAATCTTGAAGTGAACATCAACCCTGAAGTGCGGAGAGACATGGGTCCCAACTAAGACGAAACGCATGTTCTGAATCCCACTGTCTCTGCTTATAATGTTTGTGATTTGGCGGCAATATCGAGTCAATACGCATAGCATGAACATATGCCAATATGAAAATGATCAACCGCAGTCCTAAACATCAGTGATAAGATTCGAACACACAATACAAATATAAAGTACAGTTGACCAAACACATGGAACATTAACAAACAAAACCCAACTGAAATATAATTCCTTTCATTTACTAAACGAATATAATTTAATTCACTTACTATACAAGATAGCTATTTTCCTTTTTCTTTTGATTATCGTGAACGTCTAATCAACTTCTTTAAATGATCTGTTAATGAATTAGAGTCCGATAATCGACTGGATCGGGTTTTAGTAAATCAGTAACTTTAAACAAATGTGTATATTGAATACCGACACTGGTCCTCATATAGTCTGCTAATTTTAAATTGAATGAGGGAATATGTTATGTATTGTAGATCATTTGACAATCTGTTTGCTGTAACTGATATTTCTCAGTTTCACTTGACAATCATTTTAAGAACTAATTCACTGGGCAAATCAACCAACTCTTGCAACGAAAACAGACATTAAGGGAACTTTGTCCTCTTATAAATGTATTAAAAAGTATTATATTCAGGAATACATAAACTCTTAAATATCTCCGTTGCAAGACTATAATTTATGGACGAGCCAGTCAGAAACGTTTGAGTGATCACAAAGTCATGGCGCCTATTTCCGTATCCAATGCTTATGTACGATTGATTTACAGCTGACCTTATAATTGAGCGACTACAATGAATGTGATTACGAAGAAGTTCTTTTGAATTAAGTCTTCTGAAAAGGATTGCGAAAAAGTGTTTCAGCCGAAATCGAAAATCCAATGCACCACGTAAATTACCTTTGTTTCTTATAGAGGATAATAAAAGCTTAAACATTTCAGCATTAAAAACATTAACTGAATATGAAGTAATGAAATACAGTGTTAATATTGAGAACTCATTAATCTCATTGCCTATTCAAGTGGATTCAGACTAGTTCACTAACATTTACAGACTGGCTTGTGATAAATGTGGTATTATACAGATTATTCAACAGGTACAAACAGATAACCAGGGTAGGTTTACACTGAGTATCTAACTTTCAGTGAGAATTTAACAATCCTCTTAACTTGTTAATGACTAATATGAGCGTAAGAAATCTGTCCTGTGCTAAACTCGAAAACGACTCCTGGACCTTGTTCAGATTACCATACTGTTGTAATTCAATGTTAGAGGAAACATTCTGCTAGGACAGAAACTGTTTTTGCCAGATCACGATTGAGACTAAGACCGGTTATGATAATTCTTGCAAACCGGAGACTTTTCAGATGTTATCGAAGCTTCGGCAGTTCAATGGTATGAGTATTGTAGAGATGTGCGTGCATTAAAAATGAGAGGCTTGCACGAGTCGTGTGGATGAGTTGAGAGAACCGTAGAAATATACAAAATGAAAACTCAAGTTCAATAGAAGACGAACTGTTATAGAACACTGGGTTAGTAGCATATCCAGAAATACACACTTAACAGGTTCTTGGTATATACGATAAACTACCTTAGAAAGACACTTCCAACACGTTAGAAACCGACAAGCTACAACTATAATATCAATTATGCTAGAGTTTGTGCAGTC